TAGATAACAAAGGTTATGGCATAAAAATTACTGCAAAAAAAAACTTAAGCAGATGTCATAAATTCGCAGTTTAGTTAAGCCAGGCAAACTAGATGAAATACGTTGTATTATGGAATCACTCGAAACGAAGATTCATGTTTTAATTATTACGGAAACTCGGATAAAAAACGAAGACGAAGCACAGAGATTAAAACTACCAAACTATGTTCACTACTATAACTACAAAAAACATTATAGAGGTGGTGGAGTCTCTTTGTTCATTCATAAGGATTTGAAACACGAATTATTGGAGGATCAATGTGAAGACGGAAACCACTTTTTATGGGTACATCTTGACACTTTTTCCCTGGACATAGGTGCCATATACAAATAGCCAGCAGCAAGTAGAAAACCTAGCTATTTGTATTAATAAATGTTTAAGTGATGGCTATTTTCCAAATAGCCTAAAAACTGCAAAAGTTAGTCCTATTTTTAAAGCCGGAAGCGAACAAGACCCAAACAATTACCGACCAATATCGGTACTTCCAGTAATGTCGAAATTATTTGAAAAAATAGTACATAAACGACTATATGACTACCTGACTTCTATTGATTACCTCTATAAAAAGCAATATGGCTTCCGCCCAAAGTCTAACACTGTATCTGCAACTGTTGATTTAGTAACCAACATAAGACTTAATATTGATCAGAAAAAAATTACATTAGGTATTTTTATTGACCTAAAAAAGGCTTTTGACACAGTCAGCCATGACATCCTATTATTAAAACTAAAAGACATAGGTATCACAGAAAAGGCGTTTGACATTTTTGAATCGTATCTTTCTGATAGATTTCAAGTTGTCAAAATTAATAATCAGCAAAGCAGCCCCCAACCGGTTATTTGTGGCATACCACAGGGATCAATATTGGGACCCCTTTTGTTCCTTATTTATGTAAACAACATATATGAAATTGGACTAAAGGGAGATATCACTTTATACGCTGACGACACCAGCCTCTTCTACTTTGGTCACTCATTACAATCAGTACTAAGTGAAGCCCAGCAAGACTTACACATATTACACACCCGGCTACACTCAAACTTACTAAAAATCAATGCCTCGAAAACAAAATACGTAATCTTTAGTACAAAAAATAGAAAAATTGAAAGTCACAATCCTCTTACTATTGATGGTGAAATATTAACCAAAGTTAACAACGAGAAATATTTAGGCCTTGTTCTTGACAGTCGTCTTACCTGGAAACAACATATTGAGAAGATCCATAGTAAAATCTACTCATTAACAGGAGCTTTAAAAACTATAGTTCGGTGTCTCCCGAGACATGTCAAATATACCATATATAACGCTTTAGTTAAGCCTCATTTAGATTATTTGATTGAGGTATGGGGCTCAGCTACTAAATCAACGTTGCAAAAACTACAAGTTACACAAAATAAAATCATAAAAATATCATTCCAATATAAATACTTAACACCTACCACTCAAATATATAAAGAAACCAAATTACTTAATCTAGCCCAAACGTACAAATATAAAATATGCATTTTTATTAGGAATATACTTACTAATGCTACTCACTCTCAAATAATATTTACAAAAAAGATAGATTATCATAAACGTATGACAAGGCAGGCTAATAACCTATGTTTGAGATTATATAGAACAAACTATGGAAAAAGGAGTGTTCTTTATGAGGGAGCTCAACACTACAACAAATTACCTAATAACATTAAAGAAACAAAATCCCTGTCCACTTTCAAGAAATTGCTAAAAAGCCACATTTTAAAGGATTTTTCATAATAACTTAATAATCACAAATCTCTAATCTACATAATATATGAAGTACACATATTACCTTATTAATAATATCTACAATAAAATAGTTGTATAGAGATAATACAATATAATTAATGATTACTTATATTTACGCGAACACTACACATTGAAATAATACTAGTTTTTTACGGAATTTATCGCGTATATTTTAACTTTTTAAATACCCGACGTTTCGAACGCTTTACAGCACTCATGGTCACGGGCAGGACTGAGATGTTCAACGTCCATATGTCATAGCTAACCGCGGTTATCATAGATTAAAATTTAACTTTTGTTCCGATCTATGCAGTATGAACTTATGGTATCTTGAAGTCTTGCAGTTGTATGCTTGGGTTGGGATTTAATTTTATTTATTATAGGATCCCAAGCAGATGGTAGCACCCAGCCATCTTCTCTATTGAAATTAGGATGTTTTTTGATTTCAATAGCCTCGCGAATCATCCTTGGAAGGAATCGGTGTTCTTTAGCGAGGATCTGCGGTCTATCAAAACTGATGTAGTGACGGGGGCGATCCTGTACGTGTTCACAGACTGCAGACTTCCCGGAGCGTCGATTCTTCACATCAGCTATATGTTCTTTAACGCGGGTTTTTATTGATCTTTTAGTTTGTCCTATGTAGGTATTCTTCAAGATGTAGCCAATTTTGTCAGTGACTCCTCTAACATATGGCAGTACAGCAGGTACACGTTTCAGAGAGCACGAGGGATCTGTGACAGTAAACACCTGGCTGCAGAGCTCCACCATGTCAAGCAAGTTTTGCATGACAACAAGCTTCGAGTCCCGCGCCTACGTCACAGTGAACGAGTGAAGCCGGCCACAGTCGAGCGTGTACCTGCTGTACTGCCATATGTTAAAGGAGTCACTGACAAGATTGGCTACATCTTGAAGCGCGCTTCCATCAAAACATACTTCAAGCCGCTGAAGAAGATTGGTCAGTTTTTACCATCGGTCAAGTGTAATGTCCCTCTGCAAGATGCAGGAGTGTACAAGCTTGATTGTGAATGTGGTCTCTCCTACATAGGACAAACTAAAAGATCAATAAAAACCCGCGTTAAAGAACATATTGCTGATGTGAAGAATCGACGCTCCGGGAAGTCTGCAGTCTGTGAACACGTACAGGATCGCCCCCGTCACTACATCAGTTTTGATAGACCGCAGATCCTCGCTAAAGAACACCGATTCCTTCCAAGGATGATTCGCGAGGCTATTGAAATCAAAAAACATCCTAATTTCAATAGAGAAGATGGCTGGGTGCTACCATCTGCTTGGGATCCTATAATAAATAAAATTAAATCCCAACCCAAGCATACAACTGCAAGACTTCAAGATACCATAAGTTCATACTGCATAGATCGGAACAAAAGTTAAATTTTAATCTATGATAACCGCGGTTAACTATGACATATGGACGTTGAACATCTCAGTCCTGCCCGTGACCATGAGTGCTGTAAAAGCGTTCGAAACGTCGGGTATTTAAAAAGTTAAAATATACGCGATAAATTCCGTAAAAACTAGTATTATTACAATATAATTACTTATACACAGTATGATTATAGATATGAGACAAGATAACTTATACATATATTTGTGTATATATCTATATGTGTGTTTATATGAGCATGTACTTATGTGTGTATGTATGTATATATACGATGCATTATCCATATGTGCAACACTACTTCGCTGCTTTGGAAGGATACTGTCGTAACTCAAATTGAGTGAATTTTTCAGTAGAGCACTTTAAAGTTTTTTCAAATATTCAAAATGCTGTATTTTTTTATTTAATGCGCAATTGTTGATGAAACTTGAATAAAACACGTGAATTATATTACAGTTTATGTTTATCAAATGTTTTTAAGAAAATGATACTTATTTAGTACTAAATATTGAAAACGACTACTAGGTCTCAGACTTATAACAAAATAACACAGACAAACTTATGAAGATTACTGTCTCATTACAAAACTATACATATATATTAGAGAAAAAATAAGGTTATTTTAATAACAATGGTGTTTTAAGAAATAATACAAAATATTCATTATGTTTTTTTCAGTGATACTGATACATTTTGAGTTGTGACATCTTAGCATTATTTATTTTAATTCAATAGTGTTACAGTACCAATTTGGTCGTTCTTTTACAAAATTGCTTACTGTATGGGGCATGTTTTATGGAAAAATAAAGTATTAACTGGTTTTACAACAAGTAATAAATATACTAAAATTAGAAAATGAGAAAGTTTAACATCTTTAAAAATAGCTAATATTATTAAGTAATTGTTGTAGCATAGAATCTTCTAAATTCTGGCAACAAAACATAAAAATTCAAAAAACTCAAAATTGAACAATGTAGCTTTTATCAACATAAAAATTAAAAGAATTTTATAAATTCTAAACACAAAACAGAGTTTACATCAGTCTCTATTTTGAACAGTCTTTTAAAAAAGCTATCTAAATATCTAACTATAACACTTTGAGATCATAATAATCAGTTACTAATACGCAAAAAAAATTCAACATGTCATTTTATTATTATGACTAACCCCCCTGTAAAAAAATCCTAAAGATTCTCATAGAATAATGAGTAACATTTTGGAATTGTATTCTTTTGTAGTAAACCTAATAATCCTCGTTTTTTCTTTTCACACACTTCCATCTTATTTTTGTATGCTTGTGTCAAAACTATATTATTATTTTGTGTGTTTCTTGTTCTCCCTATCTTATCAACATAAACTTTTCCTCTTCGTATGATGTTTTATAGTAGAAGACATAATTTTGAGTGTCGTCTGGATCGACTTTTAAAATTTTTATATCAGTAAGTTTTACTGATTGCTTGTTTGCATTTTTAGAAAAATTCTTGCCTATAGCAGTTGCTAAACTTTTGACATCATAAAAATCGGCATGGGTCAGTTCATATACTTTATAGGGGGTACCAGTCTTCTTCGCACTTCGTATTATCTGTGTGTATTGATCAGGTGTATAGATCGCACCAGATTTGAGGCTTCTTTGGATTTGAAGCTCAATAAAAGAGTGAACACTATCGCCCTCATTTTGTGTATGGCCCTTTATGAGGAATTTATGACAAATTGAATTTATAAAATCATAATTATGCACAGCAAAAATTATACTGGATCAAATATGTTTCTCTTCAGATTGTATATCAATTTTGTGGTTTTTTGGCAGTCTCTTCCAGGTTTTTAATGTATTTTAGTACACAGGTACCAATTTCAATAGCTCCACGTTTAGCTTCGCCTTCGTGCCATACGTAACAGTTCACATCTTTGGTTTTAATATCATAAATAGTAAAATTATAGCAGTTCAACTTGGATAGGTAATAAAATGTCGACGTATCACCTTTAGGACAAGGCATTGCAGCTTGTAGATCAAAAACGGATACTATACAATTGTCTGGAGTATAGTTTTTGTCCTCATCTTTTTGATCCCTAGCTAGTTGTTTTTCCTTTAGGTGAAGTTCATAATCATGTTTCATAATTTGTTTGTCTTCTTCAGTTGCATTAGTATAATTTGTACAGGTTTCGCATTGGTCTTTTTTGGGTTTGAAGAATGCCATATTGTATTCGGTACAAAATATATTGTAATATGCTAGATAATTACCAAAAGGTAAACCTTTACTTTTACATTCAGCAACATAGTCTATATGTAAATCAGCTACAGTCTTGCCGCCTTCAATGTATGTTCGCTTGGCTCTGCAGTACTGACTATCAACTTTCGGGATAGAATCTAAGTGTTTTCTTATGCTATTTTTTACCAAAGGATCAAGATGAGCATGGTTCTCGTGTTTGCCTCGACGATCTTGCTTTAAAATAGCCATTTCTGACGTTTTATCGTTAACAGTCTTAATAACCCTGTCGTTAATATCAAGAGTGGCTTTGAAATAAGTTTTACAAACTCGAAGTTTATTATCCCCTATTGAAAGATAAAAAGCAAAATTATTTCCTCGATTACTGTTGTGTACTTTGTACGAGTACCTCGGTTTGATAACGGAAATATGTCGCATAATATATTCTCGCTGCCGTTCCAAATCCCCCCATATCCCAGTAGTTTTGAAATATCATTTTTCTCTGTAATTCTGTAATGTTTTCCTTACACTTAAATTTGCATTTATCTTCGCATGGAGTTTTCAATTGTCTCTCGGGAATTACTTTGTTTTTTTAGTCACGTACGATTTGCCATGATTTCGTAAAATTTTTGCTCTTACAAATATCCAGTTCTTAGGGTTTGCCTTACGTTTACGTCCAATTTTTTTCGAAAGCTCTGTATTTGGTTCTGTATTTTTTTCTGTATCTTTTTCTGTACCTTTTTCTGTTTCTTGTTCTGTAATTTGTTCTACATCTTGTTCTCTATTTGGTTCTCTATCCATTTCTATATCCTGTTCTGTTTCTTGTTCTGTAACTTGTTCTCTCTCTGGTTCTCTATCCATTTCTATATCCTGTTCTATATTTTTTTCTATTTCTTGTTCTGTAACTTGTTCTAAATCTTGTTCTCTATCTGGTTCTTTATACATTTCTGTATTTTTTTCAGTATCTGGTTCTGTAACTTATTCCTCAACTCTTTTTACATCCTCTTCCGTGTCTGAAGAATCGCTAGACGATGATGAACTATCAGAAGAGTCCGAAGAAGAGCTTGAACTAGATGAACTACTCGGTGGTATATACGATATTTTGGAAGGACCTGGTTTGGGCTTGTTTGAATAGTCAATTTTTTGTTGAGAATTGGGCGTAATAATTTGACTTGAACTTGAATTTTTAGTCGCAACTGAAAGCATGGGATTGGTGTTTTTGTTGCAAACTTATTTCTTTTGAATCGCTTTACGCGTTTCTTACTGTTGAAGTCACTATGATCAGAATCGGAATAATAGTCATTTACGTAAATTGGGTCCTTAACACTGTCATCTGAACAATAGTCATGTACTTCCAAGTTTAGCGGATCTTCTGCATCTAGAAGCTTGTTGTTTTCAGACGGTAAAGGAGATAGTATTGCGCGTTCCGTTTGACCTATTCTGTCCTCTGCTTGATTGTCCTGTAACATAAACAAAACATGAAATGAAAAAGTATCCAATGAAACATAAATCAAAAAGTTAAAAAAATATTCTTCTCGATAGTAATTGGTAATAAATATTATTATTATTATAAAATCAAGAAATCCAACTACCTACACTTCATGTAAAAGTACGTACCACTTCTTTTATTCCCTTGATACTCAACGGGACATTGATGTTCCGGAACAGCTTTAGTGTCCGTCGGTTTGCCACTAAAATAAAAAATAAAAACAATTAAAAGTTAGGTAGGTATATACCCGCACTTTCACATAATTATCTGATTCTGATTCCTATCGAAACTAGATTCTAGGTATAGGTACTTTTCTACGTACCTACCTAGAATACCTACTCTTTATAAAGTACCTAAGTACCGTGGTAGTAGAATCTAGGTACCTAGGTTATAGCTACCTAGAATAGTAGAGTCGATAGGTAAAAAGAATACTAGGTACCTACTAAAATATTGGGTTCTGTAAGCTCATTACGATTAGTTAGGTAGGTACTCGTATCTGACATTTTAGAAAAATTAAATGCGTTTTCGAGTTGCTTTTTATCTGAAATACTGTGTCAAGTACAAAAATACGACAGATTGTTAAACAGATAAAGTTTTATTACGAAAAATACTATTACAATCACGAAATAATTTATCTAGAAAAACGTTTTAATTTTAATTGTACAGATACTATCGACCGTATATTTTATTATAAACAGTAATATCTAATTTTAATACATTTAAGATATACTTACTTTTTGTAGAACAACGTAGTAATCCCAAATGATACTTTGTTTATGAGAAGTGTCTAAAGGTTCTCGTAGATTTTTTTAAACAATAATGTCACATCTCGAAGTAATGCAGTGTTCTAGATAAATGCGCACTCAAAATTTGTATTATTTTGTAATATGACCATATTTCTGAAAACCAACCGAGTGTTTACTTCTAAGGGAAAGTTGCAACTGGCGATATAACGCTGTCTATAAAAAAATGGCTGCCAAAATTGACAAATAGTATACACTCTTTCGGTGGCGCCACGGCCGTAAATGTTGTTATAGAAATATGATCTTAATTGTGTATACAAAACAGATCATTTTACGTTGAATGTTGTTGAAAACTTAATTTTGTAGTATTTGGTAATAATACGCTATTCTTCCAAAGCAGCGACTTATATTATTAACAAACAAATTAATACCTAAGTATATAATATACTAAATAAAGAAACACTACCTAATTATAGTATCGTATTACATATAGTAATGGTTTTAAAAGATAAACACAAACAATAACAATAACATATAAATTAATTTTGAACACAATAAAATAGTTAATGTGTCATATGTCTTAACAAATAACTCGCCACATTCATTCAATTTTGACCGAAGTAACGATGGTCTGCTTAGCTTTGGTACGAATACTTTTGCAACTACCCTATTTACTTATGTGTAATATTTACTAAATAAGTTATTAAGCACTCAATTAAAAAATAACTTTTAGCGACCTATTATAATACTAGCTCACTACGCCAATCGGCTTAATGTTTTTTTTCTTTATAATGTGTATTTTCTCTGTAAGTGATTTGTAAATCTTTTGAGAAAATAAATGTCTTAAACCATATAAATAGTGTATGATGTAATCTTTGTTACAAAGATTGTTTTATGATTTTAAATAATAAGGTAAATTAATGTGATTATTATTTAACAGTACATAAGGTTACACCAAATAAGTAAACAAAGAGAATGACTTGAATTCTATTAAATAGTGTAGAAATAGGCGAGTACTCAACAAATTGAATTGTGACGGTGCAAAACCATACCACACAAAAAGCACTCAAGTAAATTAACATAAATAAAATTCTTCACGCTTAAAAACACATATTCGTATTTTATGATTTATTTTACAGCCCTTGCAACTTTAGATATACAATTCTGCCTGAGTTTTTAATTCATTTATCACAATATCTGCTGATTATAAAACAGCTAGCGACGTTTTAAAATGATATTTATTAAATTCACGTTATTATTTAGCATTCGCTATTGACTTCCATAGGTTGAACACACGCGAAGAGTTTTCTAACACCACTATATAAATTCGATAAGGAGTGGGATCGTAAGCGTAAGAAAGTAAGTAAATGCGTAAGAAAATCTCCAATTAGCTCCGTGAGTTCCGCAAGAGACGACCATAGAAAATGTTAGAAATATTTCATAGCATCCGAAATATATCCGTTCCATTCTGTTTATGCTAGACGTAAAGTACCTAGATTGGCTCCTAACAACAGCTTTAAAGGTTCAAGTCGTGTCGTACTATTTCAATAGATAAATCAGTCAGATGCTAGTTAAGAGGGCATATGCGTTTCGCGTCGAAAACTACATGTTTTATGGTTTTTCCAAAGGCAATATATCGTAACGATGTCGGGAGATTATTTGCTGAAAATTAGGGCTTTAGAAATATGAAGTCTTTATTTAGTACATAGCAATGCAAAATCATAGTTTTTAATGACGGTTTTTTAGGGCGAAGACAATCCCTTCACAGCGTTTTACGAAAATATGCATCAGAGTTATCTTTCAGGTTGAATACAACCATTACTATAAGCTAAAATACTTTATTTTAAGCGTTATTATAATGGAATATATAGTCTTTTAGTGTATAGCAAAACCTAAATTACGAAAATATTTCTATTTAATATTATAAAATAATATTATAAAAATCACCAAAACTGTCTACTTCAATGTAATTTTTTCCATGTATTTGGTTATAAACATATCTATTTTAATTATTTTATCCAAATAAATGTAATGTTAAATATCCAAAAAAAAAAAAATTAGCTCGTTTTATTTTGTCAATTATTTTATATAATTATTTTAAAAATACTATAAATCATCATGCGCAGACGCCGTTCGATTCAGTACGCTCCGGGTAATCCCAACGATAGGACGTATTACTTTTTCTCACCGACACCGCGCGATCGCGTTGATACACCGATAGGGCTATACTACAATATACTATAACTAGATACCTATATCACCATCGAGCATTTTAAACGATTGAGACTTTTATAAGCGATATTTTTGATAGTAAGTAATTTTGAAATATGTTTATGATAGTAATATTTAAATATTAAATGATGTAATGGTGGCAAATTTTCATTTCATACATATTTTTTTAGAAATGAGTAATGAACGTTAGCAATTCGGATCAACTAAAAATACAAAATCGTTGGCTTTCACCTTTGGCTCCGTGGCGGAGTGACTTGGTAATGAGTTGTAGCGCTGAGCGCCGCGGGTTCGATTACCTACAAATAATTGTTTCAGGTCTGGATGTTTGTCCTTGTGAAATTAATGTATTTAAACTGCCCCCACGATGTACTTAGGAAAAATTCCTAGTGTGGAGATAAATGGAGATAACCCCCAGATACCTCGCCGTAAACGCGAACAATCCGGGTTCGATCCCCGCTAGTGTTGCCAGATGTCCCGATTTGCGCGGAACGTCCCGATTTTCAAGGGTCTAGTGACACGTCCCGATTCACCCTTGATCGGGACGCCAAATGTCCCGATTTTCATTAACCTTATTACTTATACTATTTATTCTATACTTTAATCCATAATTTTGGCAGCAATAATGATTACATTTGTTAGCTACTACCACATTAAAATATTTTTACTACATTTTCTCACCAGTCGAAAAAAAAACACAAAAGTTTTAAACAGAATTTTATTAAAATAAGTGATTTGAAAAATTCAGGACTGCAAAAAAAAAAAACAGAATAGTTCAAAAATGTTTTAATTTGCTTAAAATGAAAAAAAATCAGTTTTTACGATGTTTGGATGAAAAGTTATTTGTTCATGAGATCACAACCGAATAATAATTATAAAGCACAAAAGTAAAGTAAAGCTACAGTCACAATTTCTCGCATTACTCGCATACTGTGATATTTACAGTGAGCGTTGACCATTGATTTATATATTACACTAGATCAGTAATAACCGCGCCAAAGCGTTGCCACTGCACATATGGCCACAGCCATATGCTTGGCTGACGTCAGTTCAGTGTTCAATGTTGTGACGCCGACAGAGTTGAGCCGCGACAAAAAATGGGTAAATGCGTAGTGAAAGAATGCTATTCAAGGTCACAAAAACGTAATAAATCAAGCGGAATCACTTTCAATATAACTTTTAGTTCTTGTTTTCATATAAACGTAAAAACCTCAAATAATTAAATAAAATTATCGAATATTGCCATTTAGATTCAATGTTGCCACTTTTCCGCATTTGTAATTATCCTACATTAATGGGAGACCATATAATGGAGTAAGTTAATTTTTTACCTCTGATTTTAAATATTTTGGAAATTAAAATTAAAAACTACGTTTTAACATTCATACAAAATAATTAATTATTCTTATTTTAGTTTATTCATCAATTATCTATTAAATATATTTTATTACCTATTTTATATTAATTATAATTTCATATAACTTTTATATTAATTCTATTTTATTACCTATTTTATATCGTTTGATTTATTAGTACAATAAAAATACTTATAAAAATATGTTTTATTTCGTCATTATGATTATTTATATTCGTCTGATAAGCTTTGTATCCTTTTTTTCTAAGTGGACGCAATAATGATTTTAAAATAAAATATATTTTTTATATAAAAACGATTAACTGCAGATTAAAAAAACTCATTTTTATTGCGTATTTTAGGTAAAATTTTATATAGCAAGCCACACAAACCTGCCATTGCATGTTTGTGTGTCTATCTTTATCTAATCTTAGCGACGATATTGTTTTCGCAACTTGTGTGAGATAGATATATGTTTATTCAAAATTGTTATTAGTTTCAAAGCTACGTCGTTGCGTTTGGATAGTGGTTACACTTTTTTCGACGCGCGGTAATGTGGTTTGCTCCTCTAGTGTTGTATAACTGAATGGCGTTGACCATCTGAGCTACCACGGCTCTCAATAAAGCACGAAAAGGCTACAAAGAAACCTATAATTTGTAGTCATATTGTAATATTGTAGATGTCCGGATATGAAAACCAAATCCCCGATTATTTTTACCTTCCGTCTCCGAAATTTTACTTACTAGACCTGGCAACACTAATCCCCGCAGACACTAATGAAATTGTTAGTTTGATGAATTATGTTTACATTATGAAACAGAATAAAAGTTTATCAAATGATATATATTTTATACAATACATATTTTCAATTAGAACATATAATATACTCAATAGGGTGAAAATATAAAGCCGACTTCAATTTACTAAAGGAATAAAACTATTTCCACATAATATTAGCCTCCGATTTCTATACACTATATAAGCCATTATATGGAAATTATTTTTTTATTATTTTAGTTCCAATAGTATCAAAGACAGGTATATAATCAAAGATAAAAGTGATTCGTGCAACTAAAGGCAACTATTATAGCCTCACGCTCGTCCTGACACGCACACAGAGATAACATTGTAGTGTGCGTCAATATTACGCCGTTCCAAAGCGATCACGTAGATTTTGACTTGGACATATTTGAATATGTGCTCTTAAGAATTATTTGTTAATTAGATGAAAATCAAATCATGCTTTAAGAATTTATTCTGGTTTTTGCCATTAACGTTTGTTGGTTGATGAAATTACAATTGAAATTATAATGACCTAGTCCACCATCCCCTTCTAGGGTTTGCATAAGCAAATTTGTAAATTTTTTTGAATCTTTTATTTATTTTATTTTTTTTTTTTGGATTAATTATCAATTAAGATTTTTGAATTACCGATGTTTCGTAATAAAACCTCTTATAGCCTAAGAACCAGTGGGCGACTGACTTACGGTATTTCAATAAGCTTCACATTTTTCAGTTAACCTCCTATACCTGAGTAACATGAAATGGTGACTCTTTGGTTTGACCGACTGTCAATATAGAGACGCGCAGGTGTTAAAGCTTTAAAAAAATGAACAAAAAATATGATAGCAATAAGTCTGCCACTTTGACATCTTAAAATATTAAATAAAGATTACCGAAAAATTTCAGTGGCACAGCGGTGGACTGCCACGCATCCAGATGGTAAGGACGGCATCTTGAATTTTAACGCGATGTGTGTTCATGAAATTTACGTTTCGCGTGTAGATGCGCACACACGCAGCTCCAGTGAACGGAGCTGACCAGAAAGAACTTGGTAGTCGAACTCGATGATTCGAACCGCTCTGCGCTTGATACGGTTAAGTAAAAGAAGGAGCTGGCAATGGGTAGCTCTAGCCAAGAGATGAGCCCCAGCTCGCTCTACTGAGTACGTCAAGATTTTAAGGGGCCAATTTGACTCTCTGATCCAAGTGTCCAAGAAACTGCACTCTATTCGATACGTCGACGCTGAGCATTCCGATGCTAGCTGAGGAAGCAAGGGGAGTGCCATTAAACTGAGGAAATATGACCAAGGTTTTTTTTAGCGTTAAACGCCCAAATTTGTGTCTCCTGAGGATTGAACTGGACTAGATTTAGTCGCCCCCAACCCGAGAGTTTATCCAATAATAATATATCGACATCAGACACAAGTCTGTTCTGGTGTTTGGTTACGTCCCAACTAATATTGGCACGGCTGGTGTATAAAGCATCACCAGTGCTGCTAGTTGTTACCAGTTTGCAACATATCATTGATATGCCGAAGAAACAGCGTTGGTGATAGCATGCAGCCTTGTGGAACACCAGCATTTATAGGCTTGTCATCAGAACATGCACCGTCTACTACAACCTTGATGCTCCGATGAGCAAGGAATCTGGTGATCCAATTGCATTATTTCTCGGGAAGCCCATAGGAAGGAAACTTTCAAAGAAATACTTTGTGCCAGACTCGATCGAAGGCCTTTGCTATATCCAAACTGACCACCAATGCCTCCCACTTGGACTCTACTGCCTCCGTTCATCTATCAGGTAGACTCAGGTAGTCCTAAAGATCACAAGCTAATCGACCATGATTAAAACCGTATTGGTGGTCACTAATAAGCTGTTGAACCTCAAGGTACCTCATGAGCTGGCAGTTTATTCCATTATGAACTCCATTATTTTGGAGAACAAGGAGGTAATGCCGATAGGCCTGTAGTTGGACGGGTCTGAGCGATTGCATTTTCTACCGATCGGATGTAATAAAGCTATCTTCGATGAATTTGGGACTACACCTTGAGAGTAGTACTACCGGAAAAGACGCATCAAAACCGGTGACAACTCCGGAGCACACGTCTTTAGCCCATTGGGAGGGACTCCATCAGACTCACTCGACTTGCTGACGTCCAAGGAGAAGAGTACTTTGCAAACCGAGCGCTCAGTAAGTCGCACTTCCGGCATGGAGCACACACACCGTGGAATGGCCGGCGGTATGTTCCCCCCGTCATCGAGAGTCGAGCTGGATGCAAAGAGAGAGCCTAAAAAATCGGCTTTCTCCTTTGCGAAGTGGGTAAGTGAGTCATCCTATCGGTTCAGAGATGGAAGAGTTGACTGACAGAAGTTCCCTTGGAAAGCCTTAGTGAGAGACCAGAATGCACGGGATTTCAAAGGAAGGCGAACTATTTTCTCGCCAATTCTGTCGGTGTGCTCAGACTTTGTCTTGGGAATGACTTTTTTGAAGGATTTTCTGTTGTCAGCAGTTTTTTCAGAAATTCGGAATGATAACCTCCAAGAAAGGGTCTACTTTGTTTTAAGAGACCAGCACCACACGAGCAATTGTAATTTCTCAAATATAGTGGATATTGTTACAAGCTTGAGGTTTATGACAATAAAAACTGCCGATTGAATTGCCAAAATTTACACTTTTATTACCGAACACCAATTAAAAGTTAAAACACTAATAATTAATCATACTGATTCACTTTATTTCGCTCCGAAGCTTCGCTTGTCTCGCCAAATTCAATACTGCCCCGATAGCGGGTTGCGGTGGCTTTTATATACTCCTTTTACACCGAAACATCCAGAATATTCCAGTAAATACGGGTGCCGAACGACTAGACGCAGAAAGTTCGAGTGTGGGGCTTCTAGAAAGCTTAATTCTTCTGTTCGATACTAGATGGCGCTGTTGATCAAAAGATCAAGATTGACATTTTATAAGAAGCCCTCCTCGCTCTGGTCCCCGACACTAGATGGCGCTAGTGCCAGGTACCTGACGTCAACTTTGGCGCGCAACAATATTAATGTGCGGCTGTGGTCACTTACAATCGCCTGAGCCACATGTTCATTAACTCCATATCTTTCAAAACAATAAATATTCTTAATAATTTTAGAAGCGACGTTAGTCTAGGTAGAAGGTAAAGTGCGGGCTGCACACTCAAAAGATCGTGGGTCAAATCCACCGTTCTACTACTGTCGTGAACCACTTCAAACACGAGCATTTTAAGCTTAGCAGTAGTTGTTAAAGTGAATATTAGCAATGTTCATACATTACTTTTTCTTTAAAAAGGAAGTAAACATTGTGTCATAATTCTTACTTACTTATTCAGGTATTCAGACGCGCACAGTGCACACTGTACGGGCTCTGTGTATATTCTACACGAACTTTTTCATGCTATTTTCGAACTATAACTTATTACTAAAAAAATACATACAAATTATTTGTTGTATACCTAATAAACACCCAGTGTGTTCGGGTGGTAAGATTATAAAAAATTCATGTTTTTTATAATCTTACCCCCTTATTCATAAAAAATTTTAAACGCTTGATTAGTTAAATAGCGTTTTGTCTCATTCTGAAATTTGCGAGACATTTGTTACTAGAAAGTGACAAAACACTATTTAACTAATCATTTGTTTAAAAATGTTTGTGAATAATGAGTTTATTATATTAAGAATACATAAAGACTCAATATTAGCCTACTCATGGCTGTGAGTCAGTAGTACTTTCAGTATTTAACAAATTGATGTAAATGTTCTTGTGTAATTTAACTTTATAATTGATTTTACCGTAATCCATTGGGCTACCCTGTCGATAGAAGTGGCTGACAATACCTTCGAAATTTAGGACTACGTTAGGTAATTTTACAGTCAAAATTCTATCTCGTTTTACAAAAACCATAAAATAAATTCTACTGTTGATGTTCAGCAGGTGATCCACTGGGTCAAGCTCTTTTAAGTTTGAGAATTAAACCTAATATTTTAAATTTGAAATCCAAATTGATTGAAAACCAAAACCTCCCAGTGGAGGTTTTGGTTTTAAGCCAAATAGCAATAAATGTTAAATATTTATTTCGAGTAATTTATCTAGATAGAGGTAATTTAATACAAAATTTCAAGCGTATTTCCCCAGGAATAAAAACTCCACACGTGAATACGTGTCCCGTTGTTTTTCCATAGAACTAAAACTCTTATAAACTCAAAGTATTTTTCAGTTTTTAAATCACGTTGATAAATTGTACATAATTGTTGGCGACGCGTCTATAAGAATATTTCAATTTATTAGTTAACCGATTACGAACAGCTTCTAAAAACAAATTATCGAGCAATAATATTCTAATAAGAAAACACTTAGTTGAATCTTAAAGAAATATCGAATTAATAATTTGAAGGTCTTGGGTTCGATTCCCAGGCCGGACTAGTTAGTCGTTTTCTTAGTAATATTTTCTTAATAAATTAATATAGGGGATTTTTAAGATATAAATTATGTTTCCGGGTTCAGTTACCTGGTTGAAATCACCTTTATGTCGATGTCGACGTCTATCAGTAGTCGTAAAGAATTTTTGGCCTTTCCTATAGTCATTTCTTTTTAGAAATTGTTTTGATCGAGATACTCTTAAGCCACCACCATACTTATATAATCTAGATTTACGGCGTATAAAAGTCCGCTGTTGAACATAAGCCTCCCCGCCATGGATTGCCACATAAGCAGGATATTTACTGTAGTTGCAACGCGTGGCAGGCGGGCTTGCAACCGCAGTTTTTTGTTTTCTTGTAGCTATTGCAAATACCCCATTTGGCAAATGCCTGATGTATGAGGCATTCTATAGCTTACCTCAATACTAGAAATATAATAAGTTAAGATAAAATATTACTTATTAAGATGTAATGATTACTTATGTTTACGCGGCCATTACACTTGAATGAAACAAGTTTTACGGATTATATCGCGTACCTTTATTAAAATAAAGTTAGAGACCAGGATTTGTTCCCCGGTCGAAATGATCAATTTGTGTATAAATAGAATTGATGGAAATTAATTGCATAGGTATTATCTTATATAAGTTTGATACGTTTTGTATGAAAATAAAATGTTTATTTTCAATGTTTGATTCATAAAATATTTTGTTTATGTTATCTGATAAGAAACATGATAGCTGTTAAGAATCTAGTTAGAAATAATTTCCGACATTTGAGAGTCGTGTAGAATCAATTGTTCACCTAGTATTGGTTTATAGCAGTGTGTGCTAAATTTGCCACCTTTTACCGACAATTGAGAGTCGTGTAAGAATTAGTTGTTCAAATAGCGCGAGTTCATAGCCGCGCGTTAACCTTGTACTTAGGAGGTCAAAATAAGTAGAAATTTATATATTTGCAAATTTCAGCAATTCATGTAAAATTGACTTGTAAAATATTTCAGATTGACTGTATGAGCAAAATAGGTGAATTCTGTGTTATTTTCATGTGAAAATTCCTTTGGAATAGTGAAATATTGATAGTTTTGTGTAAGAAATTTAAAAGTGTATTAAATAGTAAAATGTATAGGAAAATGTAAATTAAACTATTGTATTAGTTAAGATATTTATAATTTCAATTGAAGAACATTGTTTCAATCTTATATGTTAGATATTTAAGAATTCTAACATAGTACATATGTTGTACAATAGGCATATTTTGTTGAATAAATAAAAGGTTTTTTGTGATATAAAAATGTAATGTATATCATAGTATAGATATTTTTTGTGATATCTTTATGAATAAAATGTATAAATATATGTCTTATACAAATAAAGATATTAGGCAAACCGTGAGAGGGTGATAGTACAAATTGATGTAACTAAGTAGCGTAATCGCACAGAGGGCGCGGCTCTCTTTCGAGTATAGTTTTGTTGATACCCCATTAGACTGGTTTCATACAAATCGTTCGGGACCAGCTACCAGTATATAATATAATCAAGAAAGAAAAGTATATAAGGAAGTGATAGGGAAAGTAATTACTCTCTGACGGAACGGTTTGAAGATAATTACTGTTTTATTCCCAAGAGATCCTTCGTCTTTAAAATAAGTACAGTTCATTGGTGTCGCTAGTGCGGCACATATTGAAGAATTAAGGCGTTGGTACCGGGACGACCTCGGAAGACCCGTAATCTCCGCCTGAACCTATATGAAGAAAAAGAAGAGGTCGACGCCCTTGTATGTTACTCCGTTGCGGGGTTCACATACGTTGTGTCATAGGAGGTTAGGGAATCCGCTGCTGAACGAGCCGTGACAAAGACCCTTTCCTCGTTCCTATCCTTTTCAATTGCTCCTTCGCAGCTGTATCAAGCAGCAAGCGACTCCTCGTTCCTGTCCTTTTTCAATAATATATATTTGATCAAATTGGTCTCTAAAAAGCTTAGCGTACTCAGCAGAGAGGGACAGTATTTCATACCGGCACACCGCCTGCAACTTTACGAGGTACAGGTTCGGTCTCACATAGAATACTGTTCCCATCTCTGGGCTGGAGCTCCCAAGTGCCAGCTACTTCCACTTGACCGCATCCAGTGCAAAGTAGCTCGACTCGTCTACAGCCGAGTGCTTTCCGATCAGCTCGATTCACTGGAGCCAAGAGATATTGCATCTCTTTGCATTTTCTTTTGTATCTACTACTGGGAAAGCTCTGAAGAATTGTTCGGATTAATCCCAGCCTCCAAATTTCATGAACGCACTAAGCAGCAAACCTACCACACCATCTGGAAGTGCGATTCCACTGGTGTTGCAGTTGTTCATGGGCGGCGGTAGTCACTTAACATCAGGTGAACCGTATGCTCGTTGGCTCCCTCTGCTATACAAAAAAAAACTTTTCTAGCGTTACATTTCCTACTTTCCTTACTTCCGTGCATAGTCTCGGAGACTCATTTAACATAATTTCAAACAATGAAGTGGACTTGTGCTTTGTTGTTGAGGCAAGGCATGGCATTGGCGTGACAAACGCCCTGTCCCAGAGGAGTCGACGAGTTTGTGCTCCGTCGACATACATAAAACTGCAGGTAGGTTATCCCGTCACGGATCTCTACACGATGTTGTCCGAAGAACTCTTATCTGTACGAATATCGACTTTTCGGCCCCTTGAGAGAGTGGTAAGATAACGTCACTCTAAATTCAATATGGTGGACACCCCAAGATGGCGAACATAATTTTATTTTCTTATGATTCACTATGGTGTGGCTACTTCCTTCAATAAATGAATCATAACGACAACAAAACAATAAATAATAACGTTGTTTATTTAGGCAATTAACAGGCAAATGATCATGAAACAAAGACGCATTAAATGAAATGAACAGCCTTAGAAATATGTCCATCAAAAAAAAAGTAAAAAATTATAGTATAAAAACATTTCTCACATATTTTTCCTGTTTATTTGATGACTATACTCAATCTAAATAGCGACACAATTATATTCAACCCAAGGGAACCCGAAGTGAGTAGTTAGTAAGTTATCTCTGAATAATATGTGATTCTATCTATAATTTACTGCATTTACTTTTTAAGACCAATACCCAATTCCGTCTTATTTTACTATCACAATTTAAATTAAACAACATTGTAATGCTTTTATCTAGACAACAAATGCAACAATTTTGACTTTAAATTTACTATTTATCTCTATAAAAATTTTATTGAGATTTATTCTCGAGGAGCATTTAAACGCCTGATTAAATTCAATCTTGGACAAAGGAAAGAAAAATATGAGTAGGCTCATGACTAAGTTCACCAATCTAAATATAAAATGAACCCTTGCCAAAATATTTTCTCCATATTATTTAGTAGTGGTCATGTAACATCGGTAGTTAACACCAATCGGTACGCAACTATAGTTTATTTTATTGGGTATTCTAGGAAAATTATATTTCACATTATATAGGTGAAATTGAGGACTATTACCATCGGTACGGCCTGAAAAGGAACCCGATTTAGGGGCCGGATATGCCTTAAGTGAACATGATGTTAAAAGGCTCATAGTAGAAAACAATGACCCTGTAAGTCAGTGGTAATGTACGAGTCGTGTATGACAAAAATTGGTGAGCCATTTTTTTCATATACATAGATATAGCTGCACATATCCACTTTGAGGGGGCACTAAGGGATTATGCCAAGCTCACATCGTCTAAAACTTCATAGTGTTTATCTGTTTCGTGTATCTAAAACGCCAAGTGAATGCTTTCGCTCACACCTGCAGCTAGGTGGTCCCTCCTTCGAAGAAGAAAACTTCTTCCTCTACTCCTTCTTAGATAAGACGCAACTTTACACGGCTTCCAACTCTACATGCAACTCACAACCGATGAAAGTCTGAATTCAAATAGTTACACTGAGTCAATATGGCTAGGTGAAACGTGACGGACATTGCTCGCACTCGCTCAAAAGCTTTTGCGTAGCTTCTTCTTAATTTGCTCTGAAATTGGTAAAATACTCTTTTTATAGCTCTTTGTATTTTCATAATATTACCTATTATGAAAATACACAAATAATACTAATTTACCTGTTTCGATATCCGTTATATGTGTGTATCAGGTAAAAATCTGTGTATCAGGTAAGTGTGCATATTTTATATTTTAAATTTTTAGAGACTTCTAATAATACTCACGATTTCTCCAGCCACATCGTGAACACATTTAAATACAATGCAACAGCAATAGTATCTAATCCTTCTACTACTACAGTATCAAACATTGTAAATAAAATAATAAGCCATTCTGATTTTTAAACGTTGCGTTTATCAAAAATGTATAAAATTATTTGATACCTATGTCATGTCACCTCCAAATGATGCCATATAGTGAAAAAAAGTGAAAAAAAAAATAAGCACAATATGTTTATTGTACTTATTTTTTTCAAGTTGTCAAAAGTCTTATCTACGTGGTAGAACCATGCTGCAGCTATGTTAAACGAATAGGTGGGCTCGGATGAGAAAGTACAACTCTCTCACAGAAGTGTAAGTTACAGCCTATACATCTCATTGCAAGGCACAGGCTTCCTTGCAATGCTGATAAGATTTTAGGGCAAGTAAATGACCGCCTCGCTACCCTAATGCGTGTTGGCGGACTTCACATGTCTTTAAAATATTTTTTCTTACTTTTCAGGTATGAAGTTTTCCTTCCAATATTTTCCTTCACCGCCGAGCACGTGGTAAAATAGCACTTAAATTTGTACTAAACATTTCATAGGTTTCGGCCGGGATCGAACTGAGGTTGCTAGCGTACTGTGAAACTAACAGCGTGCGCTTTGTTCCTAAGCTACCACGGCTCTCACCAGAGTAAAATAGCAGCTTGATATGGTAAGTGTAAAAACAGGATACCCTTTTTATTGGAAACGAGGCATTACTTATCTTAGCCATCAGGGGTGACAACGCATCTGTATTTTAATTCTTATGCATAGATGTAGATGTCTATGGACCATAATATCCATTAACCATCAGGTAGACTGTGTGCTTGTTTGATACCCCTTTTTTTATAAAAATGTCGATGTCTACGTTTTATTTATAAAATACTTTACTCGATTTTTACATTGATTCAAAGCAACTATTGCGTCGACATTGCTATG